CGGCGAGTGAAACGGCCCGTTGTCCGTTGAGGCGGGCGACGCTACGGCGGTCTTCGAGACCGTCTTCGACGAAGGCGACTTGCCCCAGACGGACCACCTGATCGTTGTAGTTCGCCACGACGAGATTGCGGAAATCTTCCACGGCGTCGAGGCGGCCGCGGGTTTTGACGATGAGTTCTCGCCGCGAGGTTTCGATGCGCCCGCCGGGGAACTCGACGTTGCCTTTGCGGATGGCGTCGATGACGTCTTGGGCCGAGAGGTTATGGGCGATCAGGTCGTTGCTACGAAGCCAGATGCGGATTTCGCGTTCGCGATCGCCGGCGAGTTGTACGCCGCCCACGCCTGCAATCGACTCGATGCGGGGCTTGAGCACGTCGTCGGCGAAGATCGTGAGCTCCCGAATCGAGGCGTTGCCGGCCAGCACGATGCCTAGTACCGGGGCCGAGTCGGGATCGAACTTGTCGATCACGGGGGCCTCGGCGTCGGTGGGAAGTTCGGCCGCGGCACCGGCGATCTTGTCGCGTACATCTTGCGCGGCCACGTCGATATCGCGTTCCAGCTCGAACTCGAGGAACACTTGGGCAACACCCTCGCTGGTTTCGCTGCGCATCGACTTGATGCCGCTGATGGTGCTGAGTGTTTCTTCGAGCACCTCGGTGACTTCGGTTTCCACCGTTTCTGGCGAGGCTCCCTCGTAAACCACCGTGACCGTGACGATTGGCATATCGACGTCGGGGTAGAGGGCCATTCCCAGGGTGCGGTAGGCTACCAGGCCGAACACGACCAGGGAGGCGAACGCCATGGTGGTGAGAACGGGACGTTTAACAGCCGTTTCGGAGAGTTTCATTGCTGCGTGTGCCTGCTGGCTGGAGCTGGATTAACTGCGAGCTTCGGCATTGCTGCCGAGGCTAAAGGGCTGGGGACGCATCTAACATGCATCACTGATGAGTCTGGGCTTCACCGTTTGGGCGTGAGGCGACCGTGGCCGGGGCGCCTCGAACAGAAACTTTGGTGCCATCTACCAAGAGCGAAGGATCATCGACGATGACCAGATCCTGTTCACTTAGGCCCTGTGTAACCTCGGTGTACTCAGCGTCGGTCAGGCCTAATTCGACTGGAGTCAGCGATGCGTGATCGTCGGTTAGTCGAAACACATGGGGCTGGCCTTCGACAAAGACCAGGGAAGCGTTGGGCACCACGAGATTCGCATTCTGGGCGTCGGCCAGTTGGAGGCGGACGCTGGCGAACTGGCCGGCCTTGAACTTCATGGCTTCGTTGTCGATGGCCACCCGGGCTGAGAAGGTGCGTGCCGCGGGGTCGACATACTCGTTGATGGCGATCACGATTCCCGGGACCGGTTCGGCGATGCCGGCCAGGGTAACTCCTGCTTCGTCATGAACGTTGACTCGCCCGATGAAGGCTTCGGGGATGCCGATTTCGGCGACGAGGTATCTGAGGTCCATCAATTCCAGCAGTGGACCGGTGGCGGCCGAAACGCGATCGCCAACTTCGGCATCGATCGAGGTAACGACGCCATCGAATGGGGCACGGATCGTTGCCTTGTCGAGTTGAGCGGTGGCTTGCTGTACTTCAGCTTCGGCCTGGGCGATGAGGGCTTGCTGGACCGAGAGTTCCTCGGGTGTTGGCCCTGCGGTTGCGGTCGCCAGCGTGGCTTCTGCGCTTTCCAATAGAGCTTTTGTCGTGGCGACTTCCATGGTGGATTGTTCGAATTCGGTGTCAGTCAGTACGTTCTTTTCGCGCAGCTGTTCGGCACGATCGAGATTGCTTTGGGCCAGGTTGTGGCGGGCTTGCGATTCGTTGCGAAGAGCCGTGAGCCGGCGAACTTCTTCCGGGCGATCCCACGATTGCAGCTTGGCCAGATCGGCTTGGGCCTTGTGCAGCTTCGATTGGGCCAGGCTTAGGGCAATCTCCAGATCGCGAGTGTCGAGTTGAATGAGCACATCACCTTGTTTGACGGGCTGACCGATCGAGATGGCGAGTTGCTCGGAATACCGCTTGCCGTTGAGAGAGACATCGAAACGGGTTCCCACTTGGGGAATATTGCGGACGATTCCGTCGATTTCTGGCGTGATGCGTGTGACGCGGCGAGGCAGCAGGTTGCCGGTGAATCCGCGTTCGGGCGTTAGCTTGGCCGACTGAACGGGGGCCACTTCGACTTCGACGGCGATTGCGCGTTGAACCTGTTTCCCTGCATCGGAAGTCTCAGCATTGCTTGTTCCGCAGCCAGCTAGTAATGGGAATGCGAACATCGCGAAGACTAATAGAATTGTTATCGAGCGTAGTGTTGTCGGGGGGGGCTTCTTCAAGGGGGTTACTCCTGCTCCGCTGGATTTCTTTTTGCTGCTGAACTTGCCAGGCCATTGATGAGTAGATCGATGGCCTTCTCTACGCGATGGACCAGGTTGGCGCGGTCGCCTTCGAGACAGCCGGTGACGATGCTGCCGAAGAGCAAATCGGAAAAGGCGTTATGGGCCTGGATGGGATCGACTCCGCGCAGCTCGCCGTGCTGGACGGCCTCGCGAAAGATCGTGTCGAGGCCTTCACGATGCTCGACACGAAACATGAGGTGCGAGGGATAAACCTGATCGCGGAACTCGGCGCGTTCGAGGATCATCATTTCGATCGCGTAGGGATGCTTCTCGTAGAACTCGGCGATGGCCGTGGCGATTTTCCGCAGGACTTCGGTGGTACCGAATTGCGAGATCACTTCCGGAAGATTTTCTCTCCCGCCGATTCGTTGGTTGACGTATTCAGCCATTTGCTCGAGACAGCGTCGGGCAGCGGCGAGGAACAATTCCTGCTTGTTCCCGAAGTGGCGGTAGACCGTTCCCTTGCCGACCTTGGCCAAGTCGGCAATCACCTGGACATCGGTGTTGTGGTAACCCTCGCGCGCGAAGATTTTCGAGGCGATTTCGAGAATTCGCCACCGCTTGGCCTGGACTGCGGGGGTGACTTTTTCTTGGTCCATTCTTCTGGCCTTCTTTTGGAACGGACTCGTCCGTCCCGTGCTCTGCAAAATAAAACGGACGCGCCCGTCCGATTGTTGGATTCTAATCGGCAATTCTGGGGCGGTCAAGATCGGTTTATTCGCGTTTTCCGCAGAGGTGGAGCGACTAAAGTGCCGTAAGCCAATTTATTTAAATGGCTTACGAGATTTACATGCGGGCAGGATGCGAGTGGCCTAGTTTGACTAGGCGACGCATTTTGGCGAGCCGAAGAGCGACCTCGCACTGGATCAGGGGCAGCATTGGCCGTCTGACATTAGTTGCTGGCATCAGTTGAACGTACGCCGCATGAAGGCTTCAGCGGCGCTGCGATTCTTGAAGACCTCTAGCCGGAATTCCAGCGGTTCTGAGCTGGCTTGAGAGACTTCTTGTTTCCACTTGTTGATGGTCTGCATCGAGATGGCGGCCATGCCAAGTAGCCGGGTTTTCGACTCGGCCAGGGCGACGTAATGCGTCTGGTTGGCGATTGGGTCGTTGTAGGGCGTCTTCTTTAAGTGTTCCATCACTCGTTCGTCGAGGTCATCCGTATCGCCGAAATGTTTCGCGAAGAACGTGCCCGGCTCGGGGCGTTCGGCTCCCGGCTGGATGGTGCAGCTCATGTCACGGAGCATGGCAAACAGGTTGCGGGAGTTGCGTTGCCCCAGGTAGTGCACCAGTGCCCAACTGCGGGCGTATCCCAGGCTGTCGAGTTCCTCGGCTTCGAGAACCTCGCTGATGTTCAACGCGCGATCGCCCGAGGTCAGGCTTTCTTTCAACTCATACATCCGTAGGTCGTTCGGCTCTCCGATGCCTTTCCAGGTGGCTCGCGAGGTGACCTGCGTTGGAGCGAAATACTCTGGGAGTCCTTCACTGATCCACATGGGCCAGCGAGACAGACGCGGCTGAATGCCGACGTTATGAAGAATCTGATGCACACTTTCATGCGCCACCGTGGAGATCGATTGTTTCAGAGAATACTCGGGGGCGATCTCGGTCAGGCTGGACTGCTCATACATGAGAACGTGGTTGGAAACCCCGTTGTAATAGGCCGCGATGCCCGGCGGCATGCTGCGGTATTTTTGAAACTCTTCCTCGGTCTTGAAGATGATTGTGACTAGGGGAAAGCGTGGCTCGTGGACCTCATCGTCAATGCCCTGGCAGTAGTTGTAGAGCTTTCGATACATCGAGCTGATGATGCGAGCGGTGCCTTTGGCGAATGCAGGGTTGCAGTTGTAGACGAAGATGTGCCGGGGTGTGCTGAACGTTTTGAAGCCAGGAAACTTCTCCAATAGTTCCTTGGTCATCTCCTTCTCATCGGCTGGCACGAAGGTACGTTCGGTAGGAGTGGCCTTCGCTTTCGCGATGCTCATCAGATGACCATCTGGAAGGAGTACGACAAGACCGTGCTCGTATTCCAGGTAGATTTCCGCGACTACGGGCTCCTCATCGAAGCCTGGGACCACGACGCGACGACCCTCACCACTCTGTGGTTCCTCGTTGGCAGGTACCCTCAGCCCTAGTTCTGAATGATCGGCCTGCGGGAAAACCTGCTGGACGGCCTCGTCGACTTCCACTTGCGCTTGAACAGGCGAGTGAACTACGCAGATTAATACCGCGACCATTGCGATCAACATCTTCCCTCCACCTGAACGGTGGCCGTTGATGATCGTTGGCAGTGTTTCAACTTTGCGAAGGGTGGAATTCATCGCTGCCTCAAGTCTTTCCGTTGAAAAGGTTCACCACCGTGAAATGTGAAGGTGAACGAAAGCATACTGAGGGGCACTTTCTGAACCGTAATCTGCGTGACCCAATTATCATTTCAACAGAGAGCATTGCAAGCGATTGGCATCACTCTGCGAGATCGTTCGCTTTGCGAAAGTGTGCCAGCAGGGATCGAGTGAATTGCAACGCGGCGCGATTCAGAGCGTCGTGAGTGATGCAGAGAATCTCAACGATTGCGAACGATTTAAAACCTTGTTGCCCGCAATGTGGTGTTTACGACTCGTTATCGTCGGAGGTGCTGGCTGTCGCGGTCGAGAAGCGAGAAATCAAATCGATCAACTTGGATCGGTCGATGGGTTTCGTTGTGAATTCATCGCAGCCTGCGTCCAGGCATTTTTGGCGATCTTCGGCCATAGCATGGGCGGTCAGCGCGATAACGGGCAGGTTGTAGCCCTCGCCGCGGAGCTTTCGAGTGGCGGTGTATCCATCCATGACCGGCATCTGCATATCCATGAGCACGACGTCGTAGGGAGAGCCGTCTTCCTTAGCAGCAGCGGCCTTGTCTGAGGCGAGTTTTCCGTTTTCAACCATCTCGACAATCGCACCGGCTTTTTTCAGTATGAAAGAGATGAGCCGCTGATTGTCGTGACCGTCTTCCGCGACCAAGATCCGCATGCCATCTAGCGGCTTCGACTCGGTCTGCTTGCGGGGGGGGTGGAGTTCACGGATTACGGTGCGATCCGCGAGCGAGGTGTTCGGATCGTGCAATGTCAGTGTGTCGGCGTTGTCAATCATCAGCGAGAGCGTGAATGTGCTCCCAACGCCTTTTTGAGAGTCGAGCTCGATCTTGCCTTTAAGCATGCGGGCAAGTGAGTCTGAAATGCGAAGACCGAGCCCTGAGCCACCAAACTTGCGGGTGGTCGATCCGTCTGCCTGATTGAATGCGTCGAACTGGGCGATCTTGTCCCGCTCCTCCGTGGTCATTCCTACGCCTGTGTCGATGACATTGATGCGCAGCTTGCCGTATTTCCCAACGTGCTCGAAGGAAGTTCGCAGAGTGACCGATCCATTCTCGGTGAACTTGATCGCGTTGCCGGTCAGGTTAAGCAAGATCTGTCGCAGCCGTGTGGGGTCGGAGGTGATGCTAGTCGGGATCTTACCGTCGTATTGGGTGCGCAGTGCAATTCCCTTGACCTTGGCCCTGTCGCTGAGCAGCGATGCAACTTCTTCGATGACCCCTGAGACCGGGGTGTCGATCTTCTCAACCTTCATCTTCCCGGCCTCGATCTTCGACATGTCGAGGATGTCGTTGATGATGGTCAGCAGATGCTCCCCGTTACGCCTGATACTTTTCAATGCCGCTTGACGTTCGGGCGGGGCTTTTTCGAGACCCTCTTCGCCGAGCAGATATTCGGAGTAACCCAGGATTGCCGTCATGGGGGTGCGGATTTCGTGGCTCATATTTGCCAGGAATTCGCTCTTCGCTGAGTTGGCGGCTTTGGCGTCGCTTAGAAGGCGGTTGGCATAAGCGATTTGATTGGCCAATTCGTGGTTCACACTGAGCAATTCTTGGGTCTTGTCTTCGACCAATTGCTCGGCCTTCTGTTGGGTGACTTCAAGGCGGGCCTCTCGGAATGCGCTGAGCCGCATGGTGCTAAGCATTCCTCGAATGCCAACGAACAGGAAAATGTCCTCGAAAAACACCCAGGCAGCATGCTCGACCCAACGGTAGTGGCTGGCAGTGAGAACCCCGAAGACCGATTGTGGCCAGAACACTCCCCGCAGGAAGTGGTCGATGGTGACGACCGCGGTGGCGGAAACGAGTACCTTGTAATCGCGATAAAAAGCCAAGAATGCCAACGATCCAAAGATGTGGAAGTGGGTTTCGATTCGCCCTCCAGATACGTGAATTAGGAGGGCCGAGAACAACATTTGGGCAATCGCAATCACATGCCTGGTGACGGTTTCGCCTGGCCTGTTTAGTGCCAATGCGATGGGCAATGAGGCAATGATTGTGCCCAGGATGAGTGATCCCCACACGTGTACATGAACGCTGCTTTGTGCACCAATCCAGGTGCGGGGGGCAACGAACACCGCAACTACGATGCATGCGACCCACTGCAGTAGCATGAGAATCGCGAAGACTCGATCGACGGAAGACCTCGACTGGCGAAGTTCCGAAGCGAGCAACTCTTCTGCTCGAACCTGGACTGCCGGGATTTCCATGTGTGAAGACTGCACGATCAACTGTGGGCCTCCTGTGTAGAATTGGGGGAGGCCGCTTCTGAGTTTTCGCGGACCAGTTCGCAACCGAAGACGGGCGTGTTCTGTTTAACCGGTTCTTCGCCTTTCAGGAGCTGTCGGACTGCGACGCGTCCGAAGGCTTCGCCTTCATGAGCTCTGGCTGGGGTCAGTCCCCCATCAAACACCAACTCGCCAGCGGGCGAATAGAGCAGGCAGTGACCGCTGATTAGAACCCCAAAGGCAGAAGCGATGGCTCCGCCCGGGTCGAGAATTCTCTCTGATGATGGAATGTTAGCTGCCCGATTCCACAGGGGCGACTCGACCCAAGCTGCTTCCATCGATTGGGGATAGCCGAATACGAAGAATGTTTGCAACTTCTCTGGAATCTCGGCAACTAACCGTTCGACTTCGCCCAGGGTGGATGCTGTGCATGAACAGTGAGGATGCACGAAGACCACGAGCACAGGAATTCCCTCGGACCGGTCGAAGGCGAGTTCACTTGGCCAGTGCTTCGAGCAATTAGTTTCCGGGCCCGCCGTCGAGGCATAACGTTCGAGCCAAAGTATTCCTACCGTACCGATCCCCAACCACAAGACGACGGCGGTTCGCAATCGCAAGGTTGATTTCGGTACTAACTTCTCGCTTCCCGCACGCATTGGACACTCTCACTCGTGTTTGAGGTTTTGCAATCGCTTGGGTAAACGGCAATGGTCAAGGTGTTGTTGCTGGTGTGGCGAATGCCGGTTGTTCCGCGCTGGTATCAATAGTGGCGTACTTCTGAATCGTTTCTAAAAGGACTGTTCGATCGATGGGTTTGCGTAGATAGTCGTCGCAGCCAGCATCGATGCACTTCTGGCGATCGGTCTCCATAGCATGCGCCGTAAGGGCGACGATTGGTCCAGCGTAGCCTTGCTCTCTTAGTTGGCGAGTGGCTTCGTAGCCATCCATGATCGGCATTTGCATGTCCATCAAGATGACGTCGTACAGATCTTCCCTCTGGCTGGCCTCGCTGATTCGCTCGACAGCGATTTGTCCGTTTTCGGCCAAATCGACTGTGGAGCCGGCCTTCTCGAGGATGAATCTGATTAGCCGCTGGTTGTCGATCCCATCTTCAACGACGAGAATCCGGTAGGGCAGTTCTACAGTGTTAGTTCTTGACGGCGAAGGAGCGGGGCTCGTTTCCCGTTGGGTCACATTTATTTCTGTGGAGTGGTCGATGAGCGGAATGTCTTCGATTGAGCCCGTGGCGAGTGTGACGGTGAAGGTGCTGCCCTGGCCCGGAGCGCTCTCGACGGAGATATCTCCCCCCAAAGCGACCGCAATGCGTCGGCTGATTGTGAGCCCCAGTCCCGTCCCACCGAACTTGCGAGTTGTGGAACTGTCGGCCTGCGTGAAGGGGGTGAACAGTTGTTTCAGCGTGTTTTGAGGAATTCCAATACCCGTGTCCATGACATCGAAAACAATCTTTGGGGATCCTGAAACACATTGATCCAACCGCAACGCGACACACACTGAACCGGTTTCGGTGAACTTGATAGCATTGCCCACGATGTTGATAAGCACCTGGCGGAGACGCATATGATCAGTAGCAATGCTCTCTGGCAGAGGTCCTTCAGGGCGGATTTCAAGTGCAATTCCTTTTTCTGCCGCACGACCGCAGAGGAGCGTGATCACTTCTCTAGTAACTTCTAATGGATCGCATTGGCTCAACTCGACAGTGAACTTGCCCGCTTCGATCTTGGAGAGATCGAGGATGTCGTTGATGAGTTCGAATAGATGGATTCCGTTTCTCTGAATCGCCTCGATCGCTTCACTTTGCTGTGCAGATCCGGGGTTGCGTTTATGGTCCTCGTGGAGCAGATCGGCGTAGCCGAGAATCGCCGTCATCGGGGTCCGAATTTCGTGGCTCATGTTGGCCAGGAATTCGGTCTTTGCCTGATCGGCTTTCTGTAGCAATTCGTTCTTTGTAGCCAAGTGGGGAAATTCGAGGAACTTGGGGATTTGCTTCAGTAAGACCACCGAAGTAATGCAAGAGACAATGGCAGTGGCCAGCTTCAGTACACCCGACAGACGATACAGCGGGTGGTAGAAAATGACTGCTTCCAAAAGATGGCCTGCCCCACAAAACAAGATGAAGGCGGCGAACAGAAATAGCAGGCCGTTGAACGGTGTGTCTTTGCGTTTGAACAGAAAGTAAATCAGAGCTGCAGGAATGGCGAAGTACGCCAAGAAGATGCCGACGTCGGAAACGATGTGCAGCCAACCTTCAATGGGTGTCCATTCGCCGCAGTTCCATCGAGCTGGGTACGACGACGTGTCGAACAGATTGCCCAAGAAACCTGAGAGCGAATTCTCAACAGGTTGTCTTTCAACGGAGAGAGTCTGCAGGCAGCAGTTGCCTTCCGGAGGTGCAGTCAAAGAGTTCTTATCCATGGCACCATCCAATGCAATCAATCGTGTTGTAATTAGTCATCGTTGCCCCGTTTAATATGCGATTGGTGTTGGTGCCCTTGTGGCTTCGCCATGTAGCCCATGGCCGAGTTGATTTGTATGAATCTGAAGTGAGCGGCTGTGATATTGCCGGGTTCCGAATTGTCTTAACTCTTAAGGCATCAAACTTTAGATCATCAGATTTGGCTGCATTCCACTGTGCCGCTCGGATTAGCTGGTAAGGGCGATTTGGTATGCAATTGGTAGCTATTCTTCGGGCGGTACCGGTCGCACGTAGCCTAGTGTCGGGTTTGCGACAGAAAACCGCGGGAGCTGGAGACTGATGAGTCGCCCCAGAATGGCAGCGGGCGTTGAAGGATCGTAAAACCGCCAGCCGGGGTTTTGGGCCAGGAATTACGAGTGCTTCAGCCGCGTGTGCTGCTCGAAAAGTTTCATGTGAACCCAGCCAGATTCAGCTTGACCTATATAGCCAAAGGGGAGTTAAGAGGTCTTTCCTCGCCTTCACAAGGCTGAGTCGATCTGGTTAGGCATGAAACTTCGTGGAAGTGGGCCGGTTACATGGGGTGTAATGAGCGGAGAGTTCTGATTGTCGACGACGATCCCAGCGTCCGTCGGCTCTTTCGGGCCTTACTTTCCGGGAGCAATGTGATTCGAGAGGCCGGAACCGGCGGGGAGGCAATCGCCGAAGCTGCGTTATGGATGCCTGATCTCGTTCTGCTGGACATTGAAATGCCCGAAGTGGATGGTTACGAGGCTTGTTTTCGCATCAAGGGAGCGGAGACAGAATTCCCTCCACACGTGATCATGGTTTCATCTAAGTCTGCCAAAGAAGAGTTGGTGAGAGCGTTTGAAGCGGGGGCAGATGATTACCTGATCAAGCCAGTCTGCAAAGAGGAGTTGCGATCACGCGTTGATCTTCACTTTCGCCTGCGTGCTAGCCAGCTCCAAACGATGCAGTTGCAGAAAGATGTAGATCAACACCACCGCGAGCTAAGGCAGATAAGCGAAGACCGGATGAAGCAGGTGATCGCAGTCCAGGATGTGGCTGTTTTCACATTGGCGAAGCTGGCCGAATCGCGTGACTGTGAAACGGGCGAGCACCTTCTGCGGTTGCGAGCGTACGCCCAGTGTCTGGCACGACAACTTCGCGAGAACAGCGTTTATTGCAATCTGATCGACAGCACATTTCTAGATGACTTATATCGCTCGAGTCCCCTGCATGACATTGGGAAGGTGGGCATTCCCGACTCCATTCTGCTGAAGCCTGGAACCTTCACCGCCGATGAGTTTGAGACGATGAAACGGCACACGGTGATCGGGGGTAATATCCTGCACGAAGCCGTGATGCAGCTTAAAGGTGGTTGCTTCTTAGCGATGGCTGCCCAAATCGCTCAGTTTCACCATGAACGATGGGATGGAACAGGCTACATGGCAGGGCTGGTCGGAGAAGAGATTCCATTGCCGGCACGGATTGTGTCAGTGGTCGATGTCTTCGACGCGCTGACTACCAAGAGGCCCTATAAGCCTGCATGGCCGATCGAGAAAGCGAAAAGAATGATCGATGAGGGTGCGGGCAAGCAGTTCGACCCGGTGATTGTGCAGGCGTTTGATTGCTGCTTTGAAGAAATCTCGCAGATCTGGCAACGCCACTGCGATAAAACGCCAGTCGCGATTGGTGCGAATTCTCTGCTGGAATACAGTACTGGCGAGCATGCAATTTTCTAAGCTTGCCCGGCTTAATCTCCGGTTGGATTTTCCTTGCCGGCGCTTTGAGTTGAATTGGGGAGTATCTCATTCTCCAAAAGAAACTTGTATAGGTCTTCTGCAAGCTGTCTGTGTGTGCGTGGTGTGGGATGCATGTCGTCCTGAAACTGTTCCTCGGACGTCAGCTCCGGCAGGTGCAGGCTCTCGTGGGCATCGAACATGAGTATCCCACGCTCTTTGCAGAAGTCGGTCAGCAAGCATTCGTGCGGCTGGGTGAAGCGGTAGGAGGGGTGAATCATAACCAACTTGATTCCCTGCTGATCGCAGTAGTCAGCCAACTCAGCCAGCGTTTGTTCCCGTTCCTCGGGGCTTACACGACGCGGTAATTGCCGTTCGTCTAGATCGACGACCTCCCCTTCCTCCGCGGGGGCTAGTCGGCTGGGGAGTCCGATTTCATCGACCTGCAACCGCCAGTGATCGGCCGCCTCCTTTTCAGAGTCGGTTTGTTGCTGAGCCGTGATTTGCGACAGGCGATAACTTTCGATTCGGTACTGAAGAAATCGGTAGATAGCAGAGTGAGCCAGCAGGAATCGGCTGACTTTTCCGGAAAGAGATTCGTACAACTCCCGATCGGACTTACTGAGCCCCAATTGCTCGGTGTTCTCCGAGCTTCGCCAGCTGGAAGGAAGGTAGTCATTCAATTCGTGGTAGAACAGCACGACGTCGGGCTGGAACTCGATGCCGCGTTCTTTGAGGTACATCAGGCTTTGGAATGAACTCCAGGCGGGCACCCCCGCATTGATCACCTGATACTCCACGTCGGTGTCGTTGATGTTCAGGATTTGTTCGAGCTGAGCGCTATAGGTGTCGTCGTTCACCACGCCAAAGCCGAATGTGGTACTTTCACCCAAGGACAGAATGCGGAACTCATCGTGCTGCTTTTCGAACGGAAGTTCGTGGTAGCGGATGCCATCACTACTGGTGTAGTAGCCAGAGATTTGCCCCAGGTAATCGTGACTCACCGAGGGTTCAAGCGACCAGAACAACGTCGCGTCGGGTCGAAGTATGCCGGCCATCTCCTCTGGGAGTGGCAGGCTACGCACTGAGGGTCGCGCCCATTCTGTAAAACGCAGGGCCACCTCGAGGCCGACGAGCAGCGTAAACAAAGGCACCAGGGCGAAGACAAAATACTTCGCACGCCGTCGCCAGCCGCTTTTCGTTGGTTGGGGCGTCGAGGATTCCGTTTCAGATTCCATCTATCTCATTCGCCCTCTGGGCGGCTTTCTAAGAGCAGAAGCGACGCCAGATCTGCGTCGTGAATTTGTCTCCTGTCGATTCATTTATCGTGAACGAACCGTCCAGCGAATGCAATCGGTGCGGCTTGGGATGCGCAAGGGGGATAAGAACTCCCGGGGCGATCGGCAGACGGTGTTACCGTTAAATCGACATAGCTTGCAGGCCACTGCTGAGTAGGAACTCTACTGATTCTGCTGATTATGCTCCGAAACAGCCTGGAGATTGCGAGACGCATCGACAAAATCTGGGCGAATCTCAAGTGCTTTCTGAAAGAATGGAACCGCCTCATCCAAACGTCCCTGAGCGGAGAGCATCGTGCCCAGGTTGTTGTAGCCTTCCGCGAAATTGGGATAGAGGCGAATGGCTTCTTGAAGTGCGGCGATGGCCTCGCCAAGCTTTCCTTCTTTGGCAAGCTCATTCGATCGCTCGTTGTAGTCAATCGCCAAATTACGAGCAAGTTCCGCGGCCCGCTGCTGCTCAGCTTGATTCGGCACTTCGGCGAACATGTCAATTTCAGCCTGCCGGAATCGGAAATAGTCAGTTTCGTAGCCTTGTTCTCGAAATGATTTCGCCAGCCCGGAGAGATTGGCGTAAGTGCGGGGAAACAACCACTGTCCACGGAAGGGTACGCCTAGATCTCGCACTTGCCGGCGGTCGAGCAAGGACATTGAGGCATCGTGGCCCAACTGTTCGAGGCCGATGGGGCCTTTGTAAATGGCAACGAGCCAACCTTGGGGATCGATCAAGAAACTGCACGGGGCAGGCAAAGGCTGGCGACGTGGAACGATATGTTGGGCTAGCAAGGTCAATTTCGAGAAGAGTTCGTCGGTAGCCAAAGCCGAATCGAAGGGAAACCCAATCGATTCCAAAGCGTCCTCAGCATCGTTTGCTTCGGACATGCCTGCATCGCTCAAGTGATCGACGTTCAAGACAAGAACGTTGATGCCCAACTCTCGGAGTTTCGCTTCTTCTTTCGCAAAGCCACGCAGTTCTTTCCTGCAAACCGGACACCAACTGGCCCAAAGGGTGACGAGAAGTGGCCCATCGCCAGTGGCCGCTAGTTCGAAGGAACTGCCATCCTCCGATGCGTATTGCAACTCGGGCATCAACACCCGGGAGGCCAGAATGATGCGAGCCTGTTCGGTGGGATCGGGCGTTGCCACCGACCCTGGGGCGAGTGCAATTTGCCGAAACTCCGAATCTAACGGGCGTGCCGCGGCGGTGCCTTGCTCTAAGATGAACCGCTGATTCGCGCTCAGCCCCTCGAATTTTTCCGTCTTCCCGTTGGGCCAACGAACGGTTAGTCGCTCGATCTTATTGCCATTCCCCAGCCCCACGTGAACCCATTTAGTCGGTTGCGTTCGGAACCCGTCTTCGGCCCGTAGGGTTCTCACGATTCGTTGCTGGTCGTTACCGCTCGTATGGACCTCGACACGAGCGCCAATCGCGTCTCGGTTATCTTTAGTTCCCACCAGCTTCAACTGCAGCCAGTTGTTTTTCGGCGAACCGTTATTGGACAAGAACCGCAGGGTGGGGCCCGATCGGTTGGCAAACCAGAGATCTAAATCGCCATCCAGGTCCCAGTCGACCAGAGCCAGGCCGCGGGCGTCATCTGCGAAATCAATTCCGCTAACTGACGAGGTGTTAGCAAAGCGGCCAGCTCCGACGTTCAGAAAGCAGCGGTTTCGTTCTCGCCCGCTCCAAGAAGATCCTGCTTCGACCTGGGCATAAAGTGCCCGCCAGGCATTGATGTACTCGTCTTGACCTTGCTCGCCATACTCTAGGGGTGACTGCGACACGACCTGCCGCCAATAGAAACTTCACAAGTCGTGTGTGTCCTGGTTGGTGATGTAGCCGTTAGCAACCAGAATGTCTTCCTTGCCATCGTTGTTGACGTCGCCGAATCGGGAACTCCAGGCCCATCGGCCCATGGTCACGGCCGCCTGCTCGCTGACATCTTGAAAGGTTCCGTCGCCCTGGTTTTCGAAGAGCGAGTTTCCACGGGCCATCCGTTGAAACTTTGCGACGCGATTCTCCGATACCCCAGACTTGAACGATCGTTGGTAGGTGATGCGACCGCCGGCCGCGGAGAACATGTTGCCCACATACAGATCCATCAGCCCATCGTTATTGTAGTCGCCCCAGGAGACTGACATGCCCGATGCGATATCTTCGACGTCTGCTTCCGCAGCGATTTCTTTGAATGTCCCGCCATCGTTGCGATAGAGGCAGTTCCGGCCGAAGTCGTTGGCCACATACAAGTCGGAGTCGCCATCGTTGTCGAAGTCTTCCCAACTGGCTGCAAAACTCCAACGTCGATTGTTGGCATCAAGACCGATCTCTTGGGTGACGTCTGTGAAAACCAAGTTGCCATCGTTGCGGTAAAGCGAGTTTGGCGAGCCATTGTTGGCGTCGTCATAAGGCACGGGAGACATGAACTCGGATGGCTTGCGATGTTCATCGCCAGCGGAGTTAAGCGAATCGGGACCATAGCAAGCAATGTAAAGATCCAGGTCGCCGTCGAGATCAAAGTCGCTGGCGGAAAGTGATGTGGGTTTGTTGGGCGACGTGATCGTGCTGCGTCCCACGAACCGGGCCGCACCGTCGTTCTCCATTAGGACAACGCCGTGAAGTGTGAGCACGGCCAGATCTTGATCGCCATCGTTGTCGAAATCTAGAAAGAGGGCACTGCTGGTGTAGTCGATCCAATCGACTTGCGCTGAACGCGAGATGTCTTTCAAGGTCCCGTCGGGCTGATGGAGGTATAAGCGGTTCGGCAAACCCCCGGGTTGGCAGACGTAAACATCGTCTAGCCCGTCGCCGTTGACATCTCCAAGGGCCAATCCCCCGTGGATGCCTAGGAAGGTAGCGTGTACCGACGATTGAATGCGGTCATTCCAGAATGGTTCGCCACGAATTAACTGGCGCGTGAACGATTCGGTGTTCCCTAAAACCGCTTCCGTGCAGTCGCTGAACCACACACCGTCCTCTGTGCGGCAAGACACTTCCTCGTAGTCAACCAGTTCAATGCCTGCGATGAGCGGCGAACCCTTCTCAGGCAACTTCCAGTTAAACTTCCAGGTGGCGTTTCGCTGCAGCGAGGACGCTTCGCCGTGACACGACCACTCGACAAACGCCGTGACCGTTGGCACGTTCTCCGCTTCGATGCGAAAAACTTTGAACTCTACTCGAGCCTTGTCGTACTCATCGGAAAGCGATGCGAAGCTTTGCAGGTTCCGCAACAATGCGTCTCGGCCTTCTTGCACTTCTGGCGTTGCCGAGGGTTTGTTCCACCGAATTACGGTAGCCCGAGGGTCGTCATAGACGGTCGTTACCTGTTCTGGCCTCAACGAACTGGCTGCAACTAGTTCAGTCGTGAATGGCTGTAGATGCTCCAGATCGAGCTTCGCCGGGTCTTCAAGCAGCTTTCCGAAGTCCTTCAGCTGCTGTTTCACAGAGGCGTGCAAGACCTCGGTGGTCCACCCGTCCGACTCCGGGTTGTCCTCTGGTACATTTTCGAAAGCCTGATCGACCAAGACGTTGGTCGGGCTTTCACTTGGCTCGACGAAGCTATCCCTGTCGAAAGCAGGCAACTCCACGGTTCTGGCCTGCGTGACCGGTGGCGTACCATCTGCTTGTGGCGTTGTTCCGCTCTCGTGACGGTAAGAAAAGAATAGCAGGCCAAAGACAATCAGAGCGACGAGGCACACTATCACGTGCCATTTGGCCAGTCCGCTTCTGGTTGCCGTACCGGAGATCGGGGCGTCTCGTTTCACGATGATTGAGTTCCCCTCGACATCCCGAATCTCTAACAGACCGGTTGATGTTTTGAAAAGGATTCAATTTCGGCGAGGACATGATCTGGCGCGAACCACGACCACCACTAACATATGGCTCCAGTATAGGCGTCTGTTATATGCAGGCCAAAAAACACTTCTGTGGTTCATTCACCGGAATACATCCATCGCTAACCACCCAGGGTAGCGAAGATTAGCAAGGCCCGCCTAAGTTTTGAGAATGACGCTCATCCGACACGTTCGGTTGAGTGGCTGATTTTGGGGCCCAGAGTTCGTTGCATTTCAATTCAGCACAGCACAGAACGAGCCCGACTTGTTGTCTACTGAACCAGAGACAATTCGACCAACAAAAAAGGCCCAAAATCCTTGCCATGAAGGGATTTGGGCCTCGCGTGAGAGTAGCGGCGCAGGGACTCGAACCCCGGACACGCGGATTATGATTCCGCTGCTCTAACCAACTGAGCTACGCCGCCAAATTTGGCTGGTGCGGCAGGGCTCTCCCTGGGAGGAGGCCCGTCTGCCAGAACCACCGAAGTCCTTTAGAATACCGGATTCCGGCCTCGGTGAAAATACGGTCTGATCGGGCTATTTGCCGTGACTTGATAAGGATAGCTTCCGGTTTCGCTTTCGCAATGCGGCCAGGGCGAACGACGGAACTGCCAGAGCGAGCAGCAACGCGGTCGAGGGCTCGGGCACGGCTTGCCAGTGGGCCGCCACTCGTTCAGGGCTTAACGCATAGTCGTATAACACCACCTCGTCGATGAGGCCGTTGAAGGGACGCTCGCGTTCGGCCTGGTTGCCGATCCCCAGGGGACGATCGGTGTCGGTGCGGATCGAGCCCGAGAATGCCCCGCTGTTGTCCAGCAGACCGTTGATGTAGAGCTTGATTTCCGACCCATCAAACGTGGCGGCCAAATGAGTGGGGGCGCCAACCGTGATGGTGCCCAGGCTGTCGAGTTCGATCACTTCGTTCTCGATATCGAGAAAGCCGAGTTCGACCCTGACGTGTGAGTTATCGAAAACCTGCAGGCTGAAGACGGGGCGGGTTGAGCCGGGCTCGGTCGATTTCTCGATGATCCGCTGTTGGGTACCGTTGCCGCCGTCCCAGCGGATGACACTTTCCATCGTGACTTGCGTTACGTTGAGGCCGGCACTGTGCGGGACCGTTACCGAGCCGGGGCCGGTTCCGTCGAATTGCACAGCCGTGTCGCCGCCGAGTACCCCGGGTTGCTCCAGAGTTAGCCCCGACGCGGAGTACGTTCCGTCAAAGCCGTTTCCAGTAGCGTCGGCGGCCGTGGAGGTAGGGGGAAGTTCGCCCAACCGCCAGTAGGCCAATGGGGAATCGGCTTCGACTTCTGTTTTGAATGCAAGGGGGGCCGCCTCAGCGCGGGGGCCGGTTGTACATAGCAGGGATATCGAGGCGGCAACAAAAAGACATTGAGGGCTGTAGTGCGTCATCTGTGGTCGTAGTCAGTGGGTTCGAAGTGCAAGTGCATCGACAGAGGCTCGATTCGAAGGAACCCGAACGCTGACAGGACGCGAAATCGGCCAATCACAGCCGAGGGAGAGGCATCACTGACTGAGATTCAGCCAGTACCTGAAATCTGAAACGCCGCTAAGCCAGAGAACGGGCCCACGAAAGGGACCTCAAGTTGGCGATGCAGACAGTAGCGGCTCCTCGACCACCAGGGGTGGGCGAGCGTAAGGCATAAGAGTGAACAGCGAGGGTGGCGATTGCGAACAAAAATCCCCCCTCAACAACCGACATCATGATGACGGTGAATCCAGGGGCTTGCAAGTTATTTTGCTGCTTACTCTTGGCGGTAGGCTCGACTCTGGAACTGGAAAGTATGCCCGACGGAGATTTGTATGGCGTTTTTCTCTCCTGGCACCGGCAATTCCCATGTTGGTTTCGTGGGGTACTGAGCCGGGGAGAACTCCAGGACCTGTGCGGGTTCGCTCGCGATGGGAAAGATACGCAGACTGCTACGGAATTGTCGTTTCCTGCGGCAAGCACAGACGTTGGAACCCTTCACATTCTCCCACGGAGAGGCATTGAGAACCGATCTCTTCTCGTCTGCGGCCTCTTGTAAGTTCCCCACATTTGGTACGATTCACTTCTACAAGCACGGTGAGAGTCCGGCCTGCGAGTTGCAGGTGGAAGGGACTCTACGAGGGCAACGGACGTCGACCACAACTCGGGATCAGCCCCAGGTTAAAGGCCAACTTTATGAGACTCTTGGACGACATGCTTGAGGAGAAGGTCAGCGACCTGGCCTTGCGAGATCCCGTAGTAGCCGCTCCGGGGGAGACGATCCGCCAGAGCATCGAGAAAATGCGGGCACGACGCATCGGCTGCGTGATTGTTGTTGACCAGCAGAACAAGCCGGTGGGGATGTTTACCGAAGCGATGCTGCGGCAGATGCTAACCCAGCGCCCTGGCCTGCTCGACGAGCAACTCGGCGACCATGCCACCGACGATTTCGCCTGCGTGAAGGACAGTGACCCCATCTACTACGTGCTGGAAGGCATGCAGAGCAAGGATGTCCGGTTTCTTTGTGTCGTCAACGACGAAGGCACTCTGGTCGGGCTAACTGGACAGAAGGGGTTGATGGAATACGTGGCAGATCACTTCCCCGGTCAGGTCATGGTGCAGCGGATCGGCTGCGCACCGGCAATGCACAGCCGTGAAGGAGCTTAACGATGCCTGAGAATATCCCCAAAGACGCCTCGCCTGAAGATTTTGAGGATCCGTTAGAAAACTACGATCCGAAGACCTACGAGGACCCTCTCGAGAAGGCTCTGGCCGAAGAGAAGGTCTCCTCGATCCAGTCGCATCCATACGCAAGTATCTCCCCCGATGCCACCATTCAAGACGCACTAGAGAAGCTTGGTTCGCTGCAGCATGCCTGCCTTCTGGTGGAAGAGGATGGCAACCTGGTTGGCGTCTTTTCCGATCGCGATGTGCTGAAGAAAGTGGCCCTGGAGTACGACCAGGTCAAAGACCGCCCGGTGCGGGACTTCATGACGACCGATCCCGTGTATGTGTACGAAACCGACTCATCGGCCGCGGCACTCACGGTGATGGCCGTGCTGGGATTTCGGCACGTGCCGGTCCTCGATCTCGACGACAACGTTGTCGGGATTATCAGCCCTCAACGCGTGACCGGGTTCCTGCGGGAGCAGTTCAAAAGCGAATAGTCCTGCCAGTTGGCCCCTTCCAGGACGGGACGTTCTGTATCTCGAGCGTTTCAGGTTAAACTGGAGCGTTTCGCGGACCGGGGCTTATCAGCCCACGAACCCAAGGGCCTGGGGTGTTTTTTTGACATGGTGCGTTGCGTTGAGCTAACGCTGACTTTGCTGGCGAGCATGCTCGGCGCCACCAGTTTCTCGATCGCCGGTGAGGCGACTGGCGAGATCGACTTTAATCGGGACATCCGTCCGATTTTGTCCAACGCGTGCCTGATGTGTCACGGCCCTGACGAAAACGAACGGCAGGCCGGGTTGCGGCTCGACGTTCGCGAAAGCGCCCTGGGCGAGGCCGACTCGGGATCCAGGGCCATCGTGCCGGGCGACCTCGAACAAAGCGAACTTATTCGGCGAGTGTTGTCGGAAGAAGACTACGAGCGGATGCCGCCAGCCGAGAGTGGGAAGCCGCTTACCTCGGCTGAGGTGGAACTTCTCAAGAAGTGGGTCCAGCAGGGAGCCGCCTATGCGGAGCATTGGTCTTATGTGAAGCCCCAACGTCCGGCACTGCCCAGCTTGAGTGATGCAAATGCGGAGTTGACTGCCTGGCCGAATAATGAGATCGATCATTTTGTCCTCGGCCGGCTTGTGGAGGAGGGCGTGCAGCCTTCGCCCGAGGCGGATCGCTACGCACTAGTGCGACGGGTATCGCTCGATCTCACCGGGCTGCCTCCCACGGTGGAGGAAGTGGATGAGTTCGTGAACGACACTGAGCCGCGGGCGTACGAGCGCATGGTTGATCGCTTGCTGGCCAAGCCCGCCTATGGTGAGCATTGGGCCCGGCAGTGGCTCGACCTGGCCCGTTATGCCGATTCGGCTGGCTACGCGGACGACCCCCCGCGGACGATTTGGGCCTATCGCGATTGGGTGATCGACGCCTTGAATCGCAATCTTCCGTTCGACCAGTTCACGATCGAACAAATTGCGGGCGATATGTTGCCGAATCCGCTCGACAGCCAGCTTGTGGCCACAGCCTTCAATCGCAACACAATGACGAACAACGAAGGCGGCACAGACGACGAGGAGTTCCGCAACGTGGCGATCGTCGATCGGGTGAACACGACGCTGGCCGTGTGGATGGGGACGACCATTGCCTGTTGTCAGTGTCACGATCACAAGTACGACCCGATATCGCAGCAGGAGTACTTCCAACTCTTCGCCATTTTCAATAACACCCAAGACAACGATCAACGGGCGGAAACACCGTTGCTGGATGTGTGGTCGGATGAGCAGCGACATCGGCGCGAGAAACTCAAGCAGCAGATCGCCGAATTGAAGCAGTCGATTGCTGCCCCGCCGGCAGAAGTGGCCTCTGAACAGCAGCATTGGGAGGAGCACTTCTTCGACGAGCCGGCCTGGCAGGCGATGCGACCTGCTGTGGTGTCCACCGATTCGGGCACTGGAGGGGCGATCGCTGAAGACAACACGATCGTCGTTGCGGAGACGGCCGAAAACGATATCTATCGGCTTGAGTTCCCAATCGGCATTGAGAGTGACGACCCGGTGACGGCGCTGCGGATCGAGGCGGTGCGGGAGAATTCCGCTGCGGGGGAAGAGCCAGAAACTGACAAAGGCGGCTTCGTCATCACGCGGGTTCTGGGGACGTTGGTTCCGCCGAGCGGAGAGACGACCCAGGCCCGCTACATTCGCATAGAGAATACCGGCAAACAGAAGATCCTGTCACTGGCTGAAGTGCAGATCTTCGACGGGCCGCGAAACATTGCGAGTGAGGGAACCGCCAGCCAGAGCAGTACCGGTTTTGGCGGTGAGGCAGCCCGGGCCATTGATGGAAACACCGATGGTGAGTACACGGCCAACTCGACCACCCATACGAGCACGGAAGACAACCCGTGGTGGGAACTCGATCTGCAGGCGGTTGTGCCGATCGAGCGGATTGTGGTTTGGAATCGCACCGACAACTCGCTGCACACCCGGTTGAAAGATTTCACGATCACGCTTCTAGATGCGGAACGAAAAGAGGTATGGTCCACGGTGATTGCCGAGCCGCCGAACCCGAGTGGGCAATATGCCGTGAGTGGGGTTCGCGAGTTGGAGTTCGCCAAGGTCTACGCCTCTCGCAGTGAGCCGGGGCTAGAGGCCGTCAACGTGCTCGACGAGAAGTTTCCCAACGCGACCGGCTGGGGGACGTCTACTGAAGGCGCCGAGAACGCCTCACTGACGCTCATCCCGCGAACGCCGATCTCCGGGCCGCCGGGTTCGGTCTTGAAGTTGACCATCGAGCAGCTTTCGTCGAGGAAAAATCACACACTCGACCGCTTTCGCGTTGCGGCCACTAACGATACTTCAATCAGACGCCACGTCGAAACGCCTGAGAAGATCGTTTCTCTTCTGAAAAAAGCAGCTAGTACACGAAGTGACGCAGACCGGGCAGAACTCCGCGAGTTCTATTTGACGGTTTCACCGCGACTCAACGCGATGCGGCGAGAGGCGGAAGATGTTGAAAAGAAGCTCGCTTCGCTCAAGCCAACCACGACGGTGCCCGTCATGCGGGAAATGGCCGAAGATCAACGGCGTACGACACGAATTCAGCGGCGCGGCAACTTCCTCGACCAGGGCGATGTTGTGGAGGAAGGAGTACCTGCTGCGTTTCATTCGTTACCCGAGGGATCCACGGTCGATCGTTTGGCGTTGGCCGAATGGTTGATTGACGAGGACAATCCGCTCACGGCTCGAGTGATTGCCAATCGATACTGGGAGTCGATCTTTGGGCGGGGGATTGTGCTTACAAGTGAGGAATTCGGCTCGCAGGGTGAATTGCCGAGTCATCCAGCACTGCTCGATTGGCTGGCCACCGAGTTGCAGCGTCTTGATTGGGATGTGAAGGAGTTTCTGAAGACGATTGTGATGTCGGCCACGTATCGTCAATCGTCGCAAGTGACCGAAGAATCGTATGCCCGCGATCCTGAGAATGTTTTGCTAGCCCGAGGGCCGAGGTTCCGCCTGCCGGCGGAAACGATCCGCGATCAGGCGTTGGCCGTGAGCGGATTGCTCAGCCCGAAGATGGGTGGTCCCTCGGTGAACCCTCCGCAACCGAAGATGGGGGTGAACGCAGCATTCGGGGGTGGTATCGACTGGGAAACCAGCGAAGGTGAAGATCGCTACCGTCGTGGGCTGTACACGACGTGGCGGCGTTCAAACCCCTACCCCTCGATGGCCACGTTCGATGCCCCCAACCGCGAAGTTTGTACGATCCGACGGGCGACGACGAATACGCCTCTGCAAGCCTTGGTGACGCTGAACGATCCCGTCTATGTCGAGGCCGCTCAGGCCCTGGCCCGGCGGATGATGAACGCCGGGTCAACCGTGGAAGATCGTGCATTGCGGGGGTTCCGCATCTGTCTCGCCCGACCTCCAAGTGACGTGGAGCTTGAGCAGTTGGTTCAGCTCTATGAACAAGCCTACACCCAGTTTGCTGTTGACCACGAACAGGCACGAGAGTTCATCGCCAACCCGGTGAATGCACCCCCAGAGGATGTAGATGCCGCGGAACTGGCAGCTTGGACGGTGGTTGGCAATGTGTTGCTGAACCTGGATGAGATGTTCATGAAACGCTAACTGTCTGCTTTCACAAGCTGAGCGAATCTGTCGAGACGAACCTTAAGAGTCGAGCATGAACTACACGCAGCGACAACTTCAGCACCTGACGCGACGCTTCTTCCTGAAGCAGACCTCGGCCGGGATTGGCACCGTGGCGTTGGCCTCGCTGATGGGCGTTGGTTCTGTGCAAGGTAGCGACAGCGTGGAGAACCCCCTGGCGCCGAAGCAGCCACACTTCGCGCCGAAGGCGAAGCGGATGATCTATCTGCACATGACTGGTTCACCGCCGCATCTCGATTTGTTCGACTACAAACCAGAGTTGGTGAAACGCGACGGACAGGATTGCCCTCAGGCGTTTCTGGAAGGCAAGCGGTTTGCGTTCACCTCCGGCACTCCGAAGCTGCTGGGTACTCGCCGTAAGTTCTCGCAACATGGCGAGGGTGGCGTGTGGATGTCGGACGCGGTGCCGCACTTTCATGAAGTCGCCGACGAGATGTGCGTCATTCGGTCGATGAACACCGACCAGTTCAATCACGCCCCGGCCGAGCTGTTTGTGCTGACAGGTTCGCCCCGTTCCGGGCGTCCGTCGCTGGGCACCTGGGTCACCTACGGGTTGGGCACCGAGAACGAAAATCTGCCGGGGTTCGTGGTGTTGATCTCCAGCGGTGTTCAGCCCAACGGCGGGCAGAACTCTTACGGCAGTGGGTTTCTGCCTTCTGTGTATCAGGGTGTGCAATGTCGCTCGACCGGCGACCCCGTGCTTTACGCTTCTGACCCCAAGGGAATGGACCGCAACATGCGGCGGTTGAGTCTCGACGCGTTGGGGAAACTTAATCAACTGCAAGCCGAAGAGTTAGGCCACCCCGAGACATTGACGCGAATCGCCCAGTACGAGTTAGCGTATCGCATGCAGATGTCGGTGCCCGAGGTGATGGATATCTCCCGCGAGCCGGCGCACATTCTCGAGGCGTACGGTGCCGAGCCGGGCGGGGCGAGCCTGGCGAACAATTGTTTGCTTGCCCGACGTTTGGTCGAGTCGGGCGTGCGATTCGTGCAGTTGTTCGATTGGGGTTGGGATTTCCACGGCACGGGGGCAGACACCGGCATCCGCGACGGGCTTACTAAGAAGTGCGCCACGATGGACAAACCCGTGGCCGCACTGATCAAAGACTTGAAGCAACGTGGAATGTTGGAAGACACGTTAATCGTTTGGGGTGGTGAATTTGGCCGTACCCCCTTCCGCGAAGGTCGCACGGCCGAGAGCAAAGTGCTGGGCCGCGATCATTTCCCCGACTGCTACACCATGTGGATGGCCGGTGCCGGAGTGAAGGGCGGTAAGATGCACGGCGAGTCGGACGAACTGGGGTTCAGCGTCGCCCGCGATAAGGTTCACGTGCACGATCTGCAGGCCACGATCATGCATCTGCTAGGGTTCGATCACGAGCGGCTCACGTATCGCTTTCAGGGCCGGGACTATCGCTTGACCGACGTCCATGGGCAGGTGGTCAAAGAGATCCTTGCCTAGCCCGCTTCTCATTACCTTCTCGTTGGATGGGTTGTGAGGGTTATGGGGCCGCTCACGCTTCAGAAAGTGTGATGGATCTGCTTCTCAAGCTAGGGTTTCAAATGGAGAAGCCACGACGCGCCAGCTCAGGTATGTGCTCGCGCAATAGCAGAATCCTGGACGAGGAGCCATCATGATTTGCATCAGCACGCCGGCCACGATTGGGACCAATCCGGAAATCGTCCTGGTGGCACCCCGTCGGCCTAAACTGCTGTGTATTAATGACAGTTCAGCGAGTTGCGTGGCTTTAACGCGAGAGCTGTGCGTGTATGAGATCGACGTCTTGAATGCCCCGCATGGAATGCAGGGGTATTGGCTTGCCATGAGCGAAAAGCCGGACGTCATCGTGATGGACGTGATGATTGATCCTGCGGAGGCAGGCCAGGTGCTCGAGTGCCTGAAGAAAGACGCGGAGACGGCGAGCATTCCAGTGATTGCACTCGCCGAGAGAATGGAGCCGGGGCTGGAGGACAAGCTGCAGCGGCTAGGAGCGGATTTCGTTCAGCCGCTCGATGCGCCCTTTGAAGAGATCAAAGCGTGCATTACCCAACACGTTCGGCTTCGACCCAAGGCGGCCAACTAGCTTGGGTTTTCTTTGGTAAAGGGTTAGCTCGTTAGCTCTCTTCGATCGCGTATTGGTCCAACTTCTTTCGCAATGTGGTGCGGTGCATGCCGAGCCTTCGGGCGGCGGCGGCACATTGGCCGCGGTGTTTTTCTAGTACGGCTGCGAGCAACGGCGGTTCGACGAGCCCGAGAAGTTGCTCGTACAGGTCGGCAGCTTCTCCCGAGTCGGCAAGTTGGGCTTCGGTCCAACGGCGAATGAGCGTGGCCACGGATTCGTCAACTTGCAGCTCACCTTCTGTCGGTGAGATGGGTGAAGACTCAATCGGTTCGGGCAGGTGATAGGGCTCGATCACGCCACCCCGGGCGAGGATGACGCTGTGTTCGATGGCGTTTCGTAGCTCGCGGACATTTCCGTACCAAGGGCGGCTCTTAAGTTCTGCCAAGGCCCGATTGGAAATGGCACGGGAGGCGTCTGCTCGCCCATGTGTGGCGGCCGCGAGGAAGTGTTCGGCCAGGTCTTGAATGTCGTCGCGGCGATCGCGTAACGGGGGCAGCTCGATGCGGAATGCAGCCAAGCGATAGTACAGGTCGTGGCGGAACGTGCCTTCCTGAACCTTCTTCAGTAGATCTTGGTGTGTGGCGGAGACGATGCGGAAGTCGGTCTTGATCGATTCGACCGAGCCCACGGGAACGACTTCGCCATGTTCGAGTGCCCGCAGGAGTTTTACCTGGGAGGGAAGTGGGATGTCAGCCACTTCGTCGAGGAATAGCGTGCCACCGTTAGCTTGAACGAGTAGACCAACGCGGTCTTGTTCAGCCCCCGTGAACGCACCGTGGGTGTGGCCGAACAACTCGCTCTCGGCCAGCGACTCGCTTAGCGACGCGATGTTTACAGCGACGAACGGCCCATCGGCACGATGGCTGTATTGGTGTATTGCCCTGGCGGCCAGTTCTTTGCCGGTACCACTTTCGCCTGTGAGCAACACGCTGGTATCGGCGGCGGCCGAAAGGGCAATTTGGTTGAAGACTTCTTGCATGGCGAGCGAATGCCCAATGAGCCCGTGAACTCCGCCCGAGGGTTTGTGTTGGGGTGTAGTCTTCTCGTGAGTCACCAGAGCCCGAGTAAGGGCGCTTTGTACTTTGTCGAGATTGAACGGCTTGACGATGTATTCGAATGCGCCGTTACGTACGGCTTGAACCGCGGTGTCTAAATCGCCGTACGCGGTGATGACGATGACGGGTACCTCGCCCACCCGCTCGCGGAGATGCTTCATGGCGGCCAAGCCATCCATGCCGGGCAAGCGTACGTCCAACACGATGGCGTCGGGGCACATGCGTTCGGTGAGCTGAAGGGCTTGCTCGGCCGACGAGGCGGTCACGACTTCGTGTCCGATGCTTTCGCCAAGCTGACTTAAACCCCAGCAGATGCTTTGTTCGTCGTCGACGACTAAGAGCTTCGACACCTTTACGCTCCAGATTCGAGGAGATTATTGCTCGTTGATGGATCGGTTTCGGTAAGGGAAGCCGTTCCTGGCAATGGAAGTTGGACGATGAAGCGAGTCACCGCGTCATCGCGTTTCCAGTGGATGTTGCCCCCATGTGAACTGACAATTTCTTTGACGACCGACAGACCCAGGCCAACCCCGTCGGGCTTTTCGGTGATGAACGGGTCGAACAGTTGAGCTTGCACTTCTGCGGCCGGTCCCATGCCCGAGTCGCTCACTTCTAACGTGGCTTGCTGGTTGTTGCTGGCGAGCGAAATGCTGACCTCCCGCGTGAGTGAATCCGCAGCCTGCGAGGCGGCCTCAATGGCATTGAGCATAAGGTTGACCAGCATCTGTTCCAAGAGGTTGGCATCGCCCTCGATTACGACCGGTTCGCTGGGAGGCTCCCAGTTGATTTGAACCGCGACGTGTCGGGCGGTCGGCGAGACAAGAGAGAGCACGTTATCGACGACTTCGATGAGATTGGTGGGGGCGTGTGGTGTGTCTGCGCTGCGTCCCAGCCCGAGGAACCGTTGCAGATAACGTTCCATGAGTTCGAGCTGCCGTTTTGCCACGGCCAGGCCTTCTTGATCTTCGTCGACATGGCATTTTCGCTCGTGCAGCTCGACAGCCATCAAGCAGCCAGTGACCGAGTTGCGAATTTGATGTGCGATGCCTCCACCTAATTGCCCCAGCGTGCGGAGACGTTCATTCTGGCGAACTTCCCCTTCGTAGCGGGCCAGCATGGTGGCCATGCGATTGATCGAACGGCTGAGATCGGCGATTTCGTCGTCGCGTCGAGGGACTGGCAATGCGCGAAAATCGCCTTGGGCAATGTTCCCCACTTGGCGCTTCAGTTGACGTAGCGGGCGAGTGACACGTGAGGCGATGCCCATGGCTAGGGCGACGACTAAGACGATGGCACCCGAGCCGACCAGCAGCGGCGTACGGATGGCTTCTCGGAGGGCCTCGTTGTAGCTGGCTTCGGGATAAAGAATGTGCAGTGTGGTCGGGCGACCGGCGGTGCTGGAAAGCTTTACTTCGAGGGCACGGTGAAAGTACCGCCTGTCTCCCAACGCAATGGTGTTGCTGAAGACGGAAGCTGCGTCGGAAGAAATGTCTGGATGTTCCTGCAGGCCTTGGAATTCGCCTTCGGGCGAACTCGAGGAAACGATGCGAAAGTCGCCCTGCATGACCACGAACTCTGCACCGGATAGGCCTCGCATTTTTTGCAGCACCGAGTCGGTGACTGGAAAGCTTGAGTCGGACAAAGTTTCAGCCACTTGGTTCAATTCGTTCTCTATGCGTCGCTGGGTGCTTTGCACCGAGAAGTAGGCGTTGAGGCCACTCACCGCGAACAGGGTAGCCACGATCACACCCACCATCGGCAGCATGATCTGGTTTCGCAGGGGCCAACGCATGGGTGAGCGAACTCGCGGGTGGAAGGCAGGAGGGATTTAACGAATTGAAGGCTTGGAGATCACCTCTCCCTATTCTGTATGTGCGGGCAATGCTTAGCAACGCACGTGCTTATCGCCCGGTGTGGGCTTGGTTGGTGCCCGGGCGAGGGATGGGTTTTTGGCGCTGCGTGTCAGCAAACTGGCTGTTGGGGTGTTTCCGTGTGGGGGATGGTGGGTTTTCAGGACCAATATGGGGTGGCCCTACCTTTGTAACAGCCGGAGGCTTCGCGTGTGGAACATCCTGGCTGGCGGGATTGTGCAATGCTTTTTCGAAAACTTGAGTGCAGACAAGAGGTCGCGACGAATTGGTATGTCAGACGTGGGCTATCTAGCAATTGACATCGCATGGAGGGCAGGAGCGTGAGACGGACGGCACGAATCTTTGGAGCAATTTCAACTGGACTGATCCTCGCTTGGCAATCAGGTTCTCTGGCCTCGGCTCAGCAATACGCCGTGGAGCCCAACTCAGCAGCGAATTGCGGACAAGCAACAAGCGGATACTTGTGCGACTGCTGCGAACCCGTGTGGTCGGCCACCGCTGAAGCGATCTTCTTGAATCGCTCGGAGCCTACCCCGAGGGGGATGCTTTTCGATCTCAACACCAATGCCGAGATCTTCAATGCACGAGATTTCAACTTCGATACGGAAGTTGGTCCCCGGGTAGAACTCTTTCGACGCATTGGCCCGAACCGGGGAATGTCGATCGAGTATTTCGGGATCGATAAGTGGCAAGCCGACGCCTCCTTCGGACCCGGAAGTTGCTACTTCCTCGCAGATATGGCCGGTGGGCCCGATGTTACTTCGCTGGACCTCAACTATGAGACGGAGCTTCACAGCGCCGAGTTCAATGTATGGGGTGGGATGAATCGCCGGCTGAACTTCTTCGGTGGTTTCCGCTGGGTTCGCCTGGATGACGATTTGCGTGTAGCGGGGATGTTGGCCCCTTCTGACGGAAATGCTCCGTTCTCTGGGGCGTACTCTGCGAACAACAACCTTTACGGCTTCCAAGTTGGAACTACGGGTACGATCTTCGAGTGGTGGCGTTTACGACTCGAAGGTGTCGCGAAAGCCGGCCTCTTTTACAACGATACCGACACGGAGTTCTTAGCCCAATCGACGGCCTTCGGCCAATTTGCTGCCGACGATTCGAATAGCCAGGCAGCGTTTGTTGGCGAGTTGGGGTTGAACCTGTCCCTACAGGTTAATTCCCACATTGCCCTGCGAGGCGGTTATCAGGTCATGTGGCTCTCTGGCGTGGCGACGGCCGTGGATCAAATGTCTGTGACCTCAGCCGACATCGGAACTACTAGCGTGAATGCCTCGGGCAGCTTGTTCTTCCACGGGGCGAACGCTGGTGTGGAAGTAACTTGGTAGCAGACCAGGCGGCATATTAGTCTAGATGGAAAGTGATGGGTTCTGCGGCTCGAGTGTGGCCAGATGCTTTCCGACTAGTCGCCCGCTGGTCATGGCCCAGGCGATGTGGAGTCCGTGGCCCCAGAGAATTTGCCCGCCGAGTCCTGTCTGGCCCACGGCGTAGAGTCCTTCGATGGGCTGATCGTTCTGGTCGAGGACTTGGAATTGATGGTCGATGGCGGCGCCGCCTTCGGTGGTGGTGAAGTAGGCTTTCACCGGACCGAGCAGAATCCAGCGCTCTCCACTCAACTTGCGATGCAAGGGCGGGAGGTTGTCTGCCTGCAGTGTCAACTCTGGCGGCAGGCCACGCTTTGCGGCTAACTCCTTCCAGGAAGTGGCCTCAACTGCAATGTCGGGGCGCAAGCGAAGGTAATCGTCGACATAGGCGTAGGCGATTTCTGGGGCCGTCGAGATGAAGTGCGGCCATCGGCTGAAACGTTCGGCCAACTCCGCATCGAGAAGGATGTAGGCCAACTTGTTCGTTTGTGCTGCTACGGCGATCTCACGGTCGGGGCATTGGGTTTCATCACAGAAACGCCGGGCCTGCTGATTGATTAACACGGCCCCATCGGTGAAGAGTGCATCTTCTGGATGCTGCCAAGTGACGAGCAACCGCTTGATCATGGCCGTGACCAAAGGTTTAGGGACCAGTGGCATCAGCCATCCGAGCACACGGGCCGCTGGACCACTGGAGGGCAGCAGTTGGGAAAACGGCTTCTTGCTCGGGGGAACGAATCGCAATTCGGGGCCGTAGGTCACGTCCATGTTGAGAAGCTTCGCCTCGGCGGAAGCGGCAAGCAGCTGGCCTTCGCCGGTGGCATATGGGTTGATTCCTTCAATGGCGGAGAAGGCGGGGCCTTTGTATTCGGCGATCAGCTGAGGGTTGTTGGCGTAGTCGCCGGCTGCGAGCACGACACCCCGCGTGGCGGAAAACTGTTTGGCGATTCCGCTGTGACGGGCCTCAACGCCAACCACGCGACCATTTTCGCGGAGCAGCGAGCTGACTTGGGCTTCGACGAGGATGGTGCCCCCAAGCCCGACCAGTTTTCGTTGCAGGGTGGCGATGTAGGCTTTGGCATTGGGCACCACGTTGTGCATGCGGGGCACCCTGTTCGGTGGCTCGGGGCTGGGGCCGTGGAAGTTGAGCCCTAGGGATTCGAGCCAGCTGAGTGTCTTGCCGGCGTGGTTGAGAAAGTAGCCTCGGAGTTCGTAGTTCCCGCGAGCTTCGATGCCGGGAGGTGCGAACTTTCCGGCATCCTCGTTGTGCTCGGTAGGCGAGTCTTCGATCGCCTGCTGCTTCTGCATGCGAGTTGAGCCCGCGGTGAAGGAGCCAATCGCGATGCCGGTGGTACCGCCGAGTTGGGGTTCCTTTTCCAAGAGGAGAACTAACAGACCTTCTTCTGCCGCGCTCACGGCTGCCGCGAGACCACTGCCACCGCCTCCGACAACGATCGCATCGAACTTTGTGCGGGGCTGGCTCATGGCAAAATTGGAAAGGCTCGCTAGGACTCCACTTCACTCAACCTTCGAACCACCCCTTTTGCCGGAACCACAGGAGAAGTCCTCCGGCAATCGAGCCCATGAAGAGCATCACTGCTGGATAGCCGTACTTCCAATGCAATTCGGGCATGTCGTCAAAGTTCATGCCGTACACGCCGGCGATGAACCCGAGGGGGATGAAGATGGTGGCGATGATCGTCAGCGTCTTCATCACATCGTTCGTACGGTTGCTCATGGCCGAAAGATGAAAGTCGCGGAGATCGGAGCAAAGTTCGCGGTAGGTGTCGATCGCATCGCTGAGCTGAATTGTGTGATCGTAGCAGTCGCGAAGAAATATCCTCGTTTCGTCCGTGATTAGTTCGTGGCTATCACGTAGGAGTTGATTGATCGCCTCTCGGTGGGGGCGCACGATTCGGCGGAGATAGAGCAACTCTTTGCGAAATGCGCGAATCGCCCCGATCGAGGCGTTATCTGGATTGCTCATCAGGACGTCGTCGAGCTGATCGAGTTGCTCTCCATAGGCTTCGACCACGGGAAAGTAATGGTCGATGATCGAATCGAGCAGGGCATAAGTCAGGTAGTCGGTCCCGCGATAGCGAATACGACCGGTGCAGTTGCGAATTCGCTGCCGCACAGGGTCGAGGCAATCGCCGGGCTTACCTTCCTGGAAAGTAAGCAAGAACTTGGGCCCTACGAAAAAGCAGATTTGCTCGGTTTGAAGTTCAGGATCGGCCTCGACCATGCGAGCGACGATGAACAGGTGCCCTTCGTAATCTTCGACCTTGGGGCGTTGGTGGACGTTGACCACATCTTCCAATGCCAGCCAGTGCAGGCCGAACATCTCGCCTAGCCGATAGATCATTTGGGCATCGCCGAGGCCCTCGATGTTGATCCAAGTGACCTGATGATTTTGGGTTAGCTTGTCCAGGCCTTCGACGGAGTCGACCACCTCATCGACCAGGTGACCATCGGAGTAAGCCAACACGCTGATGACCGGTTTGGGTTCACCTTCCCGCACCATCACTGTGCCGGGAGATGTGCCTGGGGCCGAGTGGCGATGGAAAGGTTTGAGAAAGCTCTTAATCCGCGGCATGATTCGCTCTCTTCGTCCGGCTTTCGTGGTGCCCATCCACTCCATTGAGGCCACTCAATAGCTTCGGATCGACTGTGCGAATGTGCAAGTCGCGTTGGGGGAAGGCGATTTCGATTCCCGCGTCGCGGAAGGCCAAGTCGATGTTGGTATGCAGTTCGTCGATCACCGGCAGGCGATTGTCTAGATCTGGCAAGTAGGTGCGAACGACGAGATTTAAGCTGTTGTCGCCAAACCCTTCGAACGTAACGATCGTCGGGGGATCTCTCAGAATCAATGGGTGGTCGTTGCAGGCCTTCAATAGTAATTCTTTGGCCCGTTTTACGTCCGATCCATAGGCAACGCCGACATTGATCACGATGCGATTAGTTTTGTCGGACAACGTCCAGTTGAGCATTCTTCCGGTGATGAATTCTTTGTTGGGGATCACGTATTCCTTGCGATCCCAATTGGTGATGGTGGTGGCTCGAACTCGAATTCGCGAAACAACGCCGTCGATTCCGTCTACCGTGACGATGTCGCCAACGCGGATAGGGCGTTCGAAGAGGAGGATCAAGCCGGCGACGAAGTTTGCGAAGATTTCTTGCAGCCCGAAGGCCAACCCGAAAGTCAGGGCGGTGGCCAGCCACTGAACTTTGGTCCACCCAATGGAGATGGCGTTAAACGCCAGCACGACACCTAGCAGCAGGATGGCGTAGCTGGTCACCCGAGTGACTGCATACCGAACGGAGGTGTCCAGCGGCAGTCGCTGCAGGATCGAGATCTCCATTAAGCCAGGTATGTTGCGAGCACAAACGAAAGTGACGATTCCGATCAACACGGCCAGACCGAGATCGGCAACGGAGACCTCTTCGATTGCTTCCACCGTTTGGAGGACGACAGGTCCGTCGCCTGAACTGGTGGGCGTTGGGGTCAATGGAGAGATCGGCGATGGGGCATTGTCGGCCTGTACCGTGGT